TTTTAATTTTTCAATTTCTTAAACATTTTGATACATTCAAGGTATGAAACACTTCAACCTTCCTATATACCATGGATAGCTACTACTTTACACAATTGTAATCATATCCAGCTCTTACTAGAGTATAAATACAACACTGCAGTGATGATACAGTTTAGAGAAAAATATTCTTTTCTTCAAGGCATTACATTTACCCTCGTCTATGTCTTCATTTCTCCGTTTCATTCTAATTTAGTATCCAAAATTGCAATACGACAACAACGACAACAACAACAAGTGTTTATATCACTAAGCGGGGCCGATTACATGAATCCTTTTTTCTTCATTGTGTCCTATTGAGTGTCATGTTTCCATTTAATTCTAGTAAATAATCATTTTTTAACAACACGCCCCAGTTTCTTCAGATCCACATCTACCTTTCTTAGAATAAATCAAATCGAAAACATCTACTCTCCTAACAGGGTTATCAGATAGTCAGCGTTTAATGTGAACAAAACATCTAAGGCGACTCACTAATATTGTCTGCTAATGGAGCTACTCCAACCCTTTCATGATATATTTGTTTCACATTTTGACTGTAAATGTAAAGCCACTCATCCATCTCAGCATTCTCATCTCAAAAACATTTAACTTGATTTTATGCTTCTCTTTTACACGTCAGCATTCTGTGCAATAAAGCGTTGCAGGTGTCACCACCATCCTATAAAATTTTCTTTTAAATTTAAGCAATATTGTTCTATGAAACAATAGGCTCGATCCATTACTCCACACCAACCATCCAACTTGAATTCTACTAACATCTCCATCTCTATATGGCCATCACTTTGAACAATAGACCCTAGTTATCTAAAACGTTCACTCCTAATGACTTGATCACTCATTGTTACAACCCAACTATTAGATCTGTTACTACTAAAATCACATTCATATATTTAGTTTTAGATCGACTCAAACAAAAGCCTTTAGACTCTAAAGTTGACCTCCAAAATTCAATTTTTTCCTGAAATCTCTCTCTACTTTGAAGGATATCATTAAAGAAAATCATACACCAAGGTACATCCACTTGTAAAATGCCATATGTGCTTAAATTGATCCTAATGTAATCCAACTAAATAGGAAAATACTTAGTCAATCCACCTTGAGTTCGAAAACAAATAACAGTTCTAATATATGTATCTTTAATAACTTGAATATAACCTTTAAATGCTTACAATAAATTTAAGACAAATATAAATAGTATTGAAATTTATTTCTTTGCCAAACCTTATTATACTTCTCCCTGAACTGAACTTTACATACAAAGATAATCCAACTTGAAACTCAAATAATCGGCGCTTCTAATCAAAGAACTTAAATGTTGAGCCAATCTCATCTATCCACTAGTCTTTTATTATTATTATGGCTTCATCAACTATCCTGGGCCCTATCATTTTCCTGTACGTGACGGAATAATTGCAATGTCTCCTATACAATATCTCATACGAAGTCATTGCAAATACTGGATTGAAATTGATATAATTAAATGCTTATCAGATAAATGTTGTCTTACCATCAACCAATAAAAATAAAATTACATAACCTTAATATATCTCATAATTTTCGATCATTTTCTCAGATAGGTCATAATGTGAATCCAAAGAAGTTTAAAGTAAGCTCAATATTAATCTAGAATTTCACACTTTTCTCTCAACAGAGTCACAATATAATGTTGAGTCAATCATCCCATTCAGAGTATTACATCAAACTTAGAAATAAGCAGAATGATCAAAGAAGGACATACTTAATTTCTAAAGAATAAATCTCAATGCACAAACAGAAAGCTTCAATGGTATCTCTGGTCCGTAACAGAAAGCAGTAAAATCAATAAATAAGATCCCAATCTTAACCCTGGACAAGTAGACCCAGTCATAAAGGAATAGAATGCTCCTGAATCAAAAAAGAAAATCATAAACCCGTTAAAAAAATATGATGTCGCCAAGACTAATCTCACTTTTGTTTCATGATGAATCAATGTACCAAGCACTAACTTTTTATTTTTCATCCAACCTTTGGGCAAATAGTCATAAAATTTTTTAGTGATCTAAGTGAAGCGTGTTGGGGAACAAGTATCAGAAAGGTAAACGCATGATTTAGAAATTACAACCAGCCAGCCCATGCCTGACTAATAGTGCCAAAAAGTCGTTTGGAAGAAGAAATATGAGTGTATACTTTGTATACAATCAACAAAACTTCCATGTGCATATGCTGTACAGCTAACTCGAACAAAATCAAAAGATGTAACAAGCAGAAACAAATGCCTTCTTCTATCAAAAAATATATGTTGAATCCTGATATGTTCATGGGTATACCTAATTATTGATGACATTAAACAACACTTGAAATCATGAATGACAAGGAGTCCAATAAAAAAATTTCAAATGTAACAGACTAAAAAATAATACAAATTTGTTGGTTGCTCATTACAAGTAAATGAGAAAATTTAATTCAGTGCAAGGATAGTAATGTGATAAATGAAAATATATACAAATTCAATTTAATGCATGCATATTTTAGCTTTGTATGAAGATCCAACAAGGATAAATGAAAAGTTAATAGGAGAAACAAAAATCTCATGTTGAAAAACAGAAAAGGAGGAACGAACATAGGACATGACACAATTAAAAAGATCCATAATATAAATAAGATTACAGAAATCTGTCATTCCCCTCATTTGGAGAAGATGAGAATATAAAATACAAAGCACGGCTAGCTCTTTTGTGGCTCAAGCTGAAAATATTGATGATGTATGAAAGATGATGACAACAATCAGCCAGGGGATAGCGATTGAGCAGTGACGATTGGACAAAACAATTAAATGAAAATGGTTAGAAGACGACAATTGGATGTCTAAGATCAAGTGACAGAGGAAGGATGACGATAGATTGACAATACTATAGAGGCAATGACAGTCAAACAATAATAGTTAAACAACAATAATTAGGTGTCGATGGCTGCTAATGATGATCACCAAAATTGAATGTTGAACAAAGTTCTAGAGTCTTCAAATCTCTAAACTCTCTTCATTTTAGTTCAGGCCTCCTCACGAGGAGACTGGGAGTCTATTTATAATTTAAGCGGTACTTTAATAATTTTAGCTAAAATCCCAAATCATTTCATCAGACGATCTAGGTTATCTAATTTAATCATAAATCATTCATTCAATTATTAAGTGTCCTAATGAACTTAAAATTTAGTGATTTTGGGTGCTCGTAATGACTGTAGGCATTCAAAAATCAAAGAAACTTTATTCTTTAGCTCAAAATTTACAAACACACTTCAAGTGCAAGATTTGGTTTCATTTGGACTCGAATTGGTTGACTTTTAGTATTATTAAGTTTATATCATTGAGACATTTAATTCAATTATAAAATTATTAAAATCGAAGGTTGGATTGTCATAAATTTAATTCCAAATGTTAACAAATAAAAAATTGCATCGAAATTCATGCAATTGAATTTAATGATTTTTTTAAAAATGTATCAGATATAAATGACATTAATGACATATTATTTATTTAGAAAAATAGCTTAAAACATTATAGGATTGTACACCCTATTGGCCTAATTATAATTTATAAATTTCAACTCTAAATTCCTATGATGTTCTATTAAAACATAACAATATAGATGCACTTCAACATTTTAACTATGTAGCATTACTTTTCAAAGTTTTATCTTTTAAATATATCTCCATTCTTTTGTCAAATAGATCAAAGATAATTAAACATATAACACCAAATAACAACTTTACTTATTAATATTAAGTAATAATTAGTAATATCAATTATCAAGTCCGCTTAAGTTATGCAAAATATGCCCAGTCTTTGTTCCCAACTCTCAAGTATGATTTAAATAAATTGTTAGTGTAGATTTAAATTAATGGTTAAGTTATATCTACTAAATTCTAGAGATCTAAGATTTATATCATCAAAATAATTGCTCTACAAATACAGAGATAAAGTCGCATGCATCAGCCCCACTCTAACTTTGTATTAGCAAAAGTTCCATGCAATGAGTGTATCATTTTTATACCCAATTTTGCTATAACTAAAATCAAATTCTTAATCTTCTAAATATTTTTTTCATTATTCTAACTTTTTACGTGTTTCAATAGACATTGAAAAGGATCAATTGTCATCGGAAAAATGGATACAATAAGGAATCAATTTGAATCTTCATTTTAATCCTCACAATAACAAATTCAAAAAAGATAGGAATTTAATCTTAATATCCTAAATGTAAAACAATTGTTATTGGGAGAACAACATGTTATTAATATCCTCATCTAATCCTATTATCATTGATAACATAGAGATCACTATACAAAAATACTAAAAATTTTTTTCAATCTTCTATATGTATTTACTAAATTTGACATACCAAATCAAAAATTCATGGTAATTACTCATACTATTTTGATGAAAATAAGATCCATAAAAATATATTTTTTTTCATCACATTTAAGTCAAGTTTTTCCATCACATGTTCCCACACAAATCAAAATTAGCCTTTTTAAAAGAAGCTATAATCTTTAAATTTCGTTTAAAAGATAAAACAATGGACTTCTCTAATACCTCTCATAAATCTTAAAATTTATCTAATTTAGGCCTAGAACATAGCCTTAAGGCGTGTTATTCGAGGCAAATTCAGTTTCATTATTTAGCATTTACATAAAATAAAAACTATTTATAGATTTATGCTTCTCAAGGCTTTCATTTAGGATTTCAAAAAATAATATCAAATAATTAGCGGCATAATACTGAATAGGCCCGAAGAGGAATCCATAAAGAGGGAAATAAAATTATGATGTAATTATCCTTGCACACCATCAGAGATTTCTAAGAACATGTTGCCTCTAATCAAGAAGACTTAGACTTCAACAAATACGAGAATCAATCAACATCACATCTTTCAAACTAATAAAATCATTCTCCCAATATGATGACATAAAAAAACCGTGAGTCATACAACAAATTGTATAGTTAAAACATGACATCTCTTTTTGCAATATAGTTTACAATAAAGCAATATATTTTACAATAAAAGATGAGAGATCATTATGTTACAATAGGTTCAACATCTCTCCCCAACTGAACTATATTCCATGATATCATTAAACAAGCTAGAAACATTATACAACCAGCTGTGAAAGCTTGGTTGCATGCATTGTTCAGACCACTCCTGAATAGTAAAAACTCTTTTTGCAAACCAGACCCCAATAAAATTATCAAATTTGACTGAAATTCGCAAACATAAAACCAAAAATATACAAATCATCATACAAAGCCAACTCCTCAATATACCAAGTCAAACAAACTAAACAACTGCATACCTTAATCTCAAACCTTGAGTAGCTGCACCCTGTTAGAGAATGCAATCCCAATCCAATCTGGCTGCGCGGCAGACCACTGAAGCTGATTAATTTCAGCCCCAGCCTGGTATACAAGCACAGGATCAACACCTTCCGCAGGCACAGCCGCTTGCAACTCCCATATAAGAGCTTGTCCATCATCCCCAGCAGAGCAGAGGTGGCGGGCCGTTTGCGGCGCCCAAGCCACTGCATTTACACAGGCACGGTGTCTCTGCAGCTCAGCCACAGGAACAGCAGGAGAACGAATATCCAGAACAATCACCTGGTTACTGTCCATAAGAATGGTGGCCATGTACCTAAGATCCGTCTTGTTCCAGGCCAGACGGAGGAGAGGAGTATCCGGCCGAGGGCTCTCATAAACAATGGCGGAATGTTCCTTGTCGCGGAGATCAAAGACCCTCACAGAACCGTCAGCAGAGACCGAAGCAAACACACCAGCTTCCCCCCAAGCGATATCATAGACCTCCTTATCGTGTGCAATAAGCTGCGTCTCTACTGTACTTCTCTCAATGTCCCAAACCGTGCAGGTTGTGTCGATGCTGCAAGTCCCAATGCGGCGGGGCTCGGCCTGATTCCAATCGAAGGAGGTAAGCGGTGCACTGAACTCGGGCGATTTGTTGTTGTTGAAGACGGAGCGGAGCTCGACGGCGGATTCCTGTACAGACCAGAGGCGGAGAAAATCGCCGGAGGAGGCGAGTAGGGAGTGGGATTGACCGGGGAGGGGTTTGGGGTGGAACATAAGCTTAGTGGGCGGGTACTGGTGCTCAAAGAAGAGCTTCGGATCGGATCGGAAGGTGAGGGTATCTTCATCAAAGGATACGATGTCGACACGGTTGCTCAGCTCCTCGATGAAGCTTCCTAGGGCAAGGCACGGTGAAGGGGAAGAAGTGGAGAAGGCCATGGCGTAGATCGGGTGTGGGGAATCGAAGGTGAAGGTGTGCTGCTGTTTAGAATTAGGGTTTAGTGGAGAATCATGCGCCGATCGGCCCTCCATTCTCTTCCCCCTTCTTCTTTCCCCGTATCTCCACTCCGGCGATCGAAGTAGAAAATAGCAGTTTCTATTTTTTTATATAGAAAAAATAAAGAGGGATTTTACATAACAATCATCTACAATATTGAATATTTCATTATTAACCTTTTTAATTTTAAGAAAAAAAATCATTTTTACCATTTTTTTGCTATAATCATCTTTCATTACTCGTTAATAAAAATACTATATTAAAATTTTGAATAATTAAAATTTTTATATAGAAAAAATAAAGAGGGATTTTACATACCAATCATCTACAATATTGAATATTTCATTATTATCCTTTTTAATTTTAAGAAAAAAAATATTTTAACCATTTTTTTATTATAATCATCTTTCATTACTCGTCAATAAAAATATTATATTAAATTTTTGAATAATTAAAATATTATATTTAAAAATTAAGGGGTTAAAATGAAATTTTGAATGGTTGTTATATAAAAGTGCAAATAATAATAATAATAATAATAATAAAAAAAGCACATTTTGGTCAAACCCACGCGAGCAGGCGGATGTTGACTATTTTTATTCTGGATCGGGTCTGAGATAATGGAGTCAAATTCAACCCGAGTAGGCTGATTTTGTCTAAGATTTAGATCTAATTAAATTTTATTTAAATATTTTGATAAGAAAAAAAATTAGCTCAGCAAATTTCTTTTTTTCTTAAGTGAGGACTTACCCAAAAAAAGAGAAAATTAATGGCCCGAAACTCAAATGAAATATTATGAGACCCGAAAATCTCAATATGAAACTAACCCGCCTTCAACCCACCCATCTTAACCCGAAGCGTATAATTCATTGAACATGAGAAATAACAGCTATTCAAGTTAATATCAGTCAATTTCTGATAAATTTCAAGTCAATTTTGGGTCAATTCTGGGTTAGCGGGCCAATTTCAAGCCAATTTATGATTCACTGGTCATTTTCGGGTTGACAAGTCAACTTGAACCCTAATTGAAAAATTAAATGGGTTGGGATATTTAACCTGAATCACGATGGACAAGTCGGATTCGGGTTGAGTTAGCGCATCGTGTAAATTTTTTGCACCCCTAATTAAAATGCATTTCCTCTTTACCTAGAACCCCATGTCAACTTATAATGAGCTTAGACTAAAGAATAATCATAATGAACTCCATTATTTATGTCTACAAATGCACCACATAAGCCTTCACTAAAGCTTAGACCCTCAAGTTTCCAAGACTTGCACCGCGTACTCTGATCAGTTGATCGGACATCTGCTAGTCAGTTATAAGTCTCCTATAGTTTAAGGTTCGATTCCCTTGAATTGTTAGACGCATCGAGGATGATCGGAGTTCATATAATAGCCTCAGGTCATTCCTTTTCATAATTATGAAAATAAAGTCTTTAAGACTTGTTGGACTAGATTCCAACTAATAAATCTTGATAATGGAACCATAGCACCTTAAAAAGATGAACCAATATTTTCCATGCAACTTATACTATTATAACAAAATCATGCTTCTAATTTATGTACAAATAATCTTTTAGCCACATGATCCTCGTCTTATGACGCTCATACGATGATTTGATATTCTTTGCATATTGAATTAAGGAATTCTACCATAATTATCATCTGATTTGAAAAATATATATTCATCTAAAATCATTAAACATGAGCTAGCTTTGATATGTCATCAATAAATTTTTATCATCCGATGTAAATCTGGAGGCACGACATGATTCTCGAAATAACTTTTTAATGAAGGAAAATTCAAATGTTGATTAAAAGCCATATAACTCTGAATTCATCAAACACACAGTCAAACTGTCCGGCTCGACGAGACCAAGCCAACCATACCAAAATTGCTCTAATTTAAGTCAAATCAAGCCCACATTTAGCTGTTAAACTTTTTTTTTTTGGAAGTTTTCAATGTAAAGTTGGATGATCAAATATATTTCAAATCTAACAATCTTATAGTCAAATCGAGCGTTTTGGCGATGTGAATCAACCATGCTAAGGAACACTCAACTATGATATCATTAAGAAACTCAAATGTTCATCGAATGCAGTCAATTAGAGGGAATCTCTCTTGATCTTCTGTCAGATTGATATGAATTCATTTTTTTCTTGCAGAGAGACTTCTCTCAAACTATATAAATGGAGCATTGCCCCTCTCTTAAGAGAACAAGGGGGCCTTGAATTTGTAGAAGACTGAAACTTAGAGGAGAAGCTAAAGTTCATCGCGTCTTCCCTGTTGATCTGAAGAATACCTCCCACAACTACAATAGTCACCACTATCGGACCGTGTCTGTCAGCCATAGTCGACTACTGTTGGCGCCCTTGACTTTTTGCAATGAAACCCCTTATGAAATCATGACAAGCGTTGTGAAATCATGATATACATTGCAGAGTAACATGACATATTGCAAAACAATGCACCTCATATACGAAGCCACGACACCTCCCGAAGACAGTGTAATAATGCTCCTCGAATATAGTGCAACGACACAAGCTTACGAAGGTGTAACAACTCACCTCGTAGACGGTGCAACGACACTTTTCGAAGACGATGTAACATTGCACCCTAAAGACAATGACTTTTTCCAGGCTTCTAAAGCTCTCTCATTACAGCCTGCCACTATGGTCTATATGACCAACTATGCCCTACATGGTCCATAACTCATGCAACTCCCACCTCTATGACTTATGAATGTATTCACAACTCACCATTACAGACTACATGCCCAACTATAACCTAAGTGGTCCACAACTCATCTATCTACCAATTCCCGCACTAGCGACCAACGAACATCATCATAGCTCACCAATATGGCTTATGTGACCAACTACGACTTATGTGGCTCAAAGCTCGAGCAGCTTCCAACTCCAGACCCTGCAACATGTGGACGTCATTGTAACTTTTCACTACACATATGTGATCAATTACTACCTACATCATCCATAACTCTGCCTCTATGGCCTACTTGTAGTTTGCAATCACCAATAACGACATTCATTGCAACCAGACTACTTCTATTATCAATGAACTACTATTGTACATTTTTAATAATCAATTTTGTAACTTCATCTTTCCTAATTCTGGAGAAGAGTTGACATATGCACTCAAAATTCATTATAGATTAATTATAATGGCCTAGAACCTGTGCTTTTTCTCATTTCTAAGGTTTTTAATATAAAAAGTCAAGATGTATAATCCTACTTCTCTTTAATTACTTGAGTGTGTGATTAGCTTTTGTGTAATGATAAGACAATAATTTATTACTTTACGATCGCGAGCCCTCCGATACACGTCAAGCTTAACTCAACTAGCAAGTAATTAAAGTAAACCTATCAATTAGACTAACCCAAGTTAGCCAATTTTTATTGTTTTACCAAAAAGGGCAGAACTACAACACTCATGCCCAACATATTTGTTTCTATCATCATTAGCCTAAGAAATTACGATTAGCCCAACTGTGCGGGTCTCACATGACCAATAGTTAACCATAGTGTAGAAAATGATTTAACTCATTATTTAGCAATTATTTTGACTTATTATTGTGCAAGTATTTAATGATATAAATCACCAAACTCAACATCAAGAGTTTGATTCAAGTATGCCGTGTTGAATTATGGTTACAAATTAATATAGAAGTTCATTAAGAAAAAACTATTTCGAGTTATGATTTTATAAATTTGATTCAAATATGCTCAGTGATGATCCAACTTGAATATCGAGGCATGACGTGAATTTACAAGTAATTTTTTTTTTTTTT